CAGTCTTGCACAATTCACAGCGCTTACCAGAGCACATACCCTCCCCAGTGTCCATCACCCAGTCACCCCATCCCTCCCACCCCACCCCCCACTCCAGCATCCTCTACTCTCTTTTAACACTGCTTTCTCCTATCACTGATCTCTTTACCTGAACAATTCTCCCTTTGGGCAATTTTTGCTTACAACCTCAGTCCTGTCCCTATTTTTGACTGACCAGAAAGTCCTCTGAGGCCAACATGAATGTTCTTTTTTTCTCTAACCTTCTCGACTGTCCCAGCAAGACATCCTGCAGATATGGCCCTTGCTTCACTGAAGCAAATTAAGTTAATAGCTTTATAGACAGAAATATTCCAGAACTAATACATTCATATTTGACCTTCCAGAATTAATAACAACAGTAATTATAGCCAGCACTGACCAAACTCTTACAATGCACCAGGTGCTTTTTTAAATGTTTTACAAGTATTTACACTTTAAGTAGAAACTTTATTTAGTCTATTTTATAGGCAAGAATTGAGTCATAAAGAAGTTAAATAATTTGCCCATCGTTATAGAGCTGGTAATTTGTAGAGCTTGGATTCCAAACCAGGATATCGGACTTTCCTTTTTTAAACAGACTTTATTTTTTAAAGCAATTTTAGGTTCACACAAAACTGAGCGTACAGACTTCCCTTATGCCCCCTAATCTATACACCCACAGCTCCCACCACCGTTAACATCCCCCCTCCGTGCTACATTTGTTATAACGGATGAACCTACACTAACCTATACGAACACATCATTATCACCCAAAGACCGTAGTTTACATTAGGGATTGTTGCTATAGGTTCCATACAACCACCGATCTTTTTACTGTCTCCCGTTTTGCCTTTTCCAAAATGTCATATAGTTATTAGAATCATGCAGTATGTGGCCTTTGAGATTGGCTTAATCTGCCTTTTAATGACAACACTGCATTGCACCACTTTCTCCTCTTATATATAGTACTGGTCCTCTATGTGTCATTAGCAGAGAAACAAACAAACAAAAACTCTATTGCAAGCATCTGATGCACAGCACCGAATCATTTCCCTCTCTCTGGCATCTTCCCCTCCACCCTATTTTTTACACTTTGCCCAGAGTTATTTTCTAGAATTGGGGATCTGGACCACAGGCATATATCAATATCAGCTGCGCAGCCATCCACTGCAATAGAGATTTGGACTCAGAGACACCTGGGTGGCTCAGTCGGTTAAGGGGTCTGCCTTTGGCTCAGGTCATGATCCCAGGGTCTTGGGATCGAGTCCCGCATTGGGCTCCCTGCTCCGCGGGAGCCTGCTTCTCCCTGTGCCTGCCGCCCCACCCCCCCCACTTGTGCTCTCTCTCTCTCTGACAAATAAATAAATAAAATATTAAAAAAAAAAAATAGAGATTTGGACTCCATAGGTTTGGCGTGGGTTCCCAGCACGGTGATGCTGGTGGATGTATTTCAGCATCCCTCATGTGATCCTAGTATATATTGTCTACTGAGACTCTCCTTAAAACCAGGTCTATGTCATTTTCTATCCATTCTCCTGTCCAAATTCCTTTGAGGGCCCCCTGCTACACAGAGAATAAAACCTCAGCCCAACAGCATGGCACCCAGTCTGGCTCCAGTCTCCCTTGTCCCTGTCCTCTGACACATGGCACATCCAGCCCATAGCCTTATTGCCTCTTTCTATACATGCCTTCACCTCCAGCCATGTGCATGGCCTTGAACTCCCACCTCTTTCTAGGATGCTCCTTCCTACCCTTCCCTCAAGGTCAACGCCAAGTGCTATATCCTTCTCCATGCCTTCCCGGGTGCCCTCAGTTGGAAGTGGAATGTGTCTTCCTCTTCCTTGTACTCTCAACCACTTGCTTGGTATCTCAACTATGACCCAGTGGGCACTGATTATAGTTAGTTGCTCACTGTTATCATAGTCCACCTTATCACTAAACCCAGGGCCCATATCTTACTCATCTTTCATCCACAGCATCTATCCAAATGCTATATACATAAGACTTGTGGCATTCAATTAAATGTCAAACATTCAGGCCAGATACTGCAGTTGAGAAGCAGCTCAAGAATAGGCAGAAGCTGGTAAGCAACACTTCTCAAATTTAAATGTGCATAAGAATCATCTGGGGATGTTGTCAAAATGCAGATTCAGGTCCTGCTGGTCTGGGAAGGTATCTGAGATCTGCATTCCCAGCAAACTCCCAGGTGATGCTGATGCTGCTGGTCCAGATGTCCCTCCCTGAGCAGTCAGGCCCTAAGGAGTTGTGGTTGAATGGGGTCAGATCCTGATTATTATTTAAGAAAGCTCCAAGTATGTCTCATTTCTCATTTGTTTATATGAACTATTTTAATAGTCTTCACACTATTATATTTGTGTTCCTTAATTGGCCCTAACCTAAAATGTTACACACACACACACACAGCAGTAAGTAAAATAAAGCCTATGTTGTTAAAAAGGGAAACCACCGGACCAAAAAGGAATCACTTAGGCCAAGTTATCAAACTGGGGCTTAAACCTAACCTAACCTAACTGCAGTTCCAACCTCCCCCAGAAATGTAGTCTTAACCATTCAATGAGACATTTTCACATCAGTACCAATGACGTAATCTGTCACAAGGACTCTCCTCATCCCGCCCCCCCACACACACACCCCATAAAGGAAGATGAGGTAATCTGCATGATTAGACCCCATGCCATTCCCCCTGAGGGAAGATGACCTTGCTTGGAACAATCCTTCCTTTTCTTTTGCTAACAACTTCCTTGCCCCACCCTCCTTCCTAAAAACCTTCCATTTTGTAGTACAACTTCTGTGAGCATCTCTTTACTTGCTAAATGGGATGCTGCTTAATTCATGAATTGCTTAGTAAAACCAATTAGATCTTCAAATTTACTCAGTTGTATTTTTGTTGTTGAACTTGACCCTGGTGAGTTTAGCTCACTCCCAAGCCCACACACTCCACACTTGCATGGATTCTGTGTCCTTTCAAACCTCACCATGGTCTAAAGTTCATGAAAAGACTATTTTCTTTCCCAGCAGTTTACCCACAGTTGTGTTAAAATAGCATATTTTAACAATGGTAAAAACGTATTCCAGGAAAGGTCTATGATTCTGGGTTTTTTCCTAGCCATTATGCTTTTTGTCTTTCTCATGCCACCATGTCTCCTGGGAGCACTGCAGAGCAGAGATTAGGTGCCATACTACCGGATTCAGTTAGAAAGAGGGAATTTTTTTTTTTTTTAAGTGAAGCAGGGAGTGCACTTTACCAGTATTAATGCCTTCTGTTATTATCCACGCTCCTGTTGTCTCTGCAGCTTTGACCAAACCTTGGCTGAAGATCTCTTTAAGTTTGGAGGGCATCTTGAAGTTCTGGATGCCCCCGTGGACAGAGATCACCAGCTTTGGCAGTTCCATCTTCCACTCTTTCAACATTAAATGTAACAGATGATCCAACTTTGTATCATAAGAAGTTCTAATATACTGGAAGATATGCATAGACACATGTACATAAAATAGGAAAAACCACATGCCGGTAACAATGAGCACACAGCAGGGTGACTGAAATGGCCAAAACTTAAAAGGAAGTGTCTGAGATTTCTTTAAAAGTTCATCGTTGTATAATGGAAACATTTACTTTGAAAGGATCCCACACCCCCTGTAAGTTCCTTCTGGGAATTAACAAGTCACGGTAGGAAGGCTTCCTCTGGCTTTCAGGGTTGGCCCACCAATGTTCTCTAGAAGGTCTGAGATGAGGCAGAAATACTTCAAACTGGTAAAAACCACTACTCCAGGAAACCCATTTTAAAAAAAGCTTTTAGAAATGGGTGAAATGGGGTTTTTCATACATGCTATTGATGAGGGAGCAGAAGGCTAGCTGAAGACAAAGCACTATCTTAAAGTTAATACATTGCTAGAGGGGAAAACAACCTTAACTTGACAATGGCAAAGCCTCCATTATCATGTAGGTCCTCTTTAGCATATGAAAGTTCTTTTGAAACCTCCCTTTTCCTTACTTCCCCCAACTCCTGAGTTCATAATCAGCCACTCCTCAAGACCCTGCTGCAGCAGCTCTTTCTGCCCAGGGGTCCTGTCCCCGGGCTTTAATAAACTACCATTTTGCACCAAAGACGTCTCAAGAATTCTTTCTTGGTCGTTGGCTCCAGACCTTACTCCACCGAACCTCACATATATTCCAAAACCACATCACTGTGACTTTTAATTTACTTGACTATTTCATATATTTCCATAATTTAAATCAAATTATGATCCGGGAGTATGTACTTTTAACTTACTGTAAATTTTACATTCTAACCGTTCCCTTTATATGTGATTATCCCTCTGAAAATGCCTTTTTCCAAAACAAATACTTTTCACAGGAGTCCTATTTTTAACTAGTCAATGTAACCCAAAGAAAAGATGAGAGAAATCCGAATCAGCAGGTAGAACCAGAATCATTTTGTATTTTGCCTAAGATCATAGTGTACAGCTGACTCTCTTTTTCCAATAGATGCAGCCACATACAGACTGTTAAAATCATACTGAGAGGCATAAGCTAACCAACAAGACCAAGTCACACTTACAGGAATAAGGACAATAAGAAACCATGAATTAGAAAACTATACCAAAAAGAACCACAGGTGGAGCTCTTCATACATATGCAAATAGAATTATTACCTATCTTCCAGAATGTAATAGTGCCTTAAAACAACTATCTGTTCACCTTTGAAATTCTTTTTTTTTTTTTTTAAGGTTTTATTTATTTATTTGACAGAGAGAGACACAGCGAGAGAGGGAACACAAGCAGGGGGAGTGGGAGAGGGAGAAGCAGGCTTCCCGCGGAGCAGGGAGCCCGACGCGGGGCTCGATCCCAGGACCCTGGGATCGTGACCTGAGCCGAAGGCAGACGCTTAACGACTGAGCCACCCAGGCGCCCCTCACCTTTGAAATTCTTAAAACATAATCCCTTTATTTAATTATTAAAATGTTACAGCCATCACAGAATGTAATAGAACCTAAGGATAATCAAGATTCAATTTCTAAGTGAGGAAAATGAGTTGCCATGGCTTTATTACATATTCAAGTAGTAGGAAAAAATACAAGTTGACCTTTGTGAAATGGTTTGTGTTGTCTCAAATAAAGGCAAAGGAAGGAGGCAGCTCTGACTTGGTTCATCTAGCTCAACTCTCTCCCAGGTGCCTCTCTCTTTCATCTAGAAGTCCTTTTAGTCCTAGCAGACATTCCTCCTTGAGATTTCAGATAAACAACCTTGATTAACTAAATTATCAGCACTAGTCTTTTCTTCCAAAGGCCAACTGAAGATGGTGCTAAAGGTTAATGACTTTCCTTCCCCCTCCCCCTCCTTTATAACTAACTCAGGCAGATTGTTCCGGGCCTAGATTCTCCTCAAATCCTTCCTGGAATGAGGTGGGAGGGATAAAACTGGGAAAGGGAATGCAGGGGTGGGAGATGAATAACCAGCTCTCACAGCTTTCCTGCCTCTCACCATAGACAGAAGTAGAATTCTGTGCTTAAATATAAAAAGTAGGTTCTTCTCTTCTGAGAGATCAAATAAAATGCATTCAGGTACTCAGGATATAATGGCGATCTAATGCTAAGCATGGAACATATGAGTGATCAGGAGATCTGTTGAACCATATTTTCAGTTCTCCTATATGCACCATATTCTCCCTTGGCCTTCCCACAAGCCCAGAGTGCTCTTAGGCCTCTGCCTCACCTGACACCAAACACCTCACTTACCTTTCTGATCTCAGCTTAGCTGTCCCTACACTTGCCAATACTTCCTTGACACACTCACATTGCCCCAGAAAAACAGGAGTGATCCTTTCCATTTTCTTGAAGAACCGTGTATTCCCACCCTGCCCATGGTAACTGTATATTTATTTCCTGTTTCCCCTCACTGTAAGCAATGTTAGTACATGGAACATACGCTCTTTGGGGCATAGCAAAGTATGAGCACCTAATAAATCTTTTTTTCATTGGATGAAAAAATGGGGAAATGAAGGTGATTATGAATAAACATAAAAGCAAAAGGAGGGAGACTAAAACTTAAGGGGAAAATTACAGGGTAATAAGCGTCAGCTTCCAGAAAAGATTACAGAGGAGAATAAGGGCAGTTTTCTCACCAACTAAAGAGAACATCAACACACAAAGCTAAACACAAGAGGATTAATAACTGGAAATGTAGATTACTGTAAAACTGTATTGCGAAACTTGATTATGATTACATTATTAAGAACTGTTGTTTCAAATCCATCCAACTGATGGTCACACTCCAGGGTACCGCTGATTCTAGGCTTTCCTGAGATGGATGCCCCCTGCAGGTTCCCCAGGGAAATCTGTCTCTGAAAAAGCAGCAGTGATTAACAAGCTCAAGAAAAAAACACCTGAGAGAGAGCTGACGCGTCAGTATTATGCAAATTACATGCAAAATTATCATATTAGGGACAGGAGCAAGACTGGCCTGGAAAGCCTAAGGACGACCACTTGGGGGAGCTACAGAGAGAAATGTCCGCATTTCCTCTCTCAAGGACATAGCAAGCATGAACAGCCACAAGGTACTAGTAATTGCTATGGCCACGCTTCAGCTAAACCCATCTCTTTGGCAGTGGCTTTCCTCCATTCCTTAAGAAAAGGGCAGCTCTTTGGCAACTGTCTCAAGAGCAATAAGCCATTCCCCCATAGAGAAGGCATGAACTTGCTAAAAGAGGTCAAATAGAGAGTGGGCCACACCGCACCTGGGAAAGGTACCATGTCCCTCAGAAAGGAAAGAGAAGGGTCAGGTCATTTTTGTGAAGAGGTCAATAACACGGATCGTTTCTGCAATAAAACTCGGTCATCTGATCATCTACACTTGGAGATAAAATTTGCAGAAACATTTGGAGGTTACCCTCTGTTAAAAACTACCAAAAATAATGTGAGTTATTAGCAAACCTTGGAGTGGTGGGTGTGCTCTCCATCTTGAAAATTAATAGTGCCAAACGTATCTGTAGGGCTTTTCGTCGTATGCTTTTCAACAGACCATTGTTCATTTTCGTTACCATTGGCAGCTGAGATGGTCCAGGAATAATCTATCCCATGATGGTCTCCAATCAATCGTCCACAGTAACACCTTAAAGATGGGATGAAAACCAGTTTCAGATTAGAAAACACACAATGTCAAAACAGAAAACAGAGGTAATGTTTCTACACTTTTCTAGGGTAATATAGATGGCATGTATGAACAATTTTTTTTAAATTTCACATTAGGGGGCGCCTGGGTGGCTCAGTTGTTGAGCATCTGCCTTTGGCTCGGGTCGTGGTCCCAGCATCCTGGGATGGAGTCCTGCATCGAGCTCCCTGCTCCGCGGGAAGCCTGCTTCTCGCTCTCCCAGTCCCCCTGCCTGTGTTCCCTCTCTCACTGTGTCTCTCTGTCAAATAAATGAATGAAATCTTTAAAAAATAAATAATAAAATTTCACATTAGATTTATATTAGACTTATATAACTAGATTGTCTTCTGAGTTTAGAAACACCCTCAGTGGTTCTCTCCCTTAGCTGCACATTAAAATCATCTAGGGAATGTTTAAAAAAAAAATACTAAAAATCTTGTGCACACCCATGTTCATGTAAGTATTATAAAGCATTATTCATAATAGCCAAGTTGACAGATGAATGGATAAACAAAATGTGGCATATACATATAACGGACTATTATTCAGCCTTAAAAAGGGAGGAATCCTATGATACGCTACAATAGGGATAAACCTTGAGGATATTATGCTAAATGAAATAAGTCAGTCATAAAACAAGTGCTGTATGATTCCACGTATTTGAGGTACCTACAGTAGTCAAATCCACAGAGACAGACAGTAGAATGGTAGTTTGCCAGAGGCTGGGAGGAGTGGCCAGTGGGGAGTTACTGTTTAATGGACACAGAATTTCAGTTTTGCAAGATGAGAAAGTTCTGAAGATCTGTTACACAACGGAAATAACACTACTAGCTATACACACTTAAAATGGTTAAGACGGTAAAAAAAATCAAGTTGTACATTTTAAATATGTGCAGTTTATTTTCTGTCAATTATATCTCAACAAGAAAAAAACTAAAAATCTCTAACATGCAGTACTTAAGGAGAGTCAGAAAATGTCTTCATGTAAAACATAATATGCACATCAAAAGGAAAGAATATTAACCAATGCCAAAAAAGATTCAACGTCAGAGAAATATTAAACACAGAGCTACCACAAGAAAAGAGCCATGAATGAGGCTTGACTATAAATATAAATTAAATAATAAATATACGTGATATAACTACAAAGGAAGGAAAATTCAGTAAATGTTCCTGCAAATTAAAAGTTTTAAAAACTATTTCAGATACAAAATGAGGCAAATTAGAAGGTTAAATCTCTTTGAAACTAGAACTATATAAAAACTAACAAAATACAATAATCATATTGGCAAAAGGGCGATAAGCTCTCGTGTTTCATGAATTAAAAAAATCAGAAGGAAAAATTAAAATTTGAGCGTGTAGAACTTTCATATGCCTATTATATATAAAGAGGTTATTCAGCTTTATAAGTGATTCATGCTTTTTTGTGTGTGTAGGTGTGAAAAGCAACATAAAAACGTGTACAAGTTATGGGGTTCAATTAAGCAAGGAACAGGATGACAACAAGAAGTCAGATCATTTTAGAGTTCTATATGGAGGGGCTCTTGACTCAAAGGGTGAAGGAATAATCTCAAATGTACAGAATATACATAATCGGAATCTACTAGAGAGAAATGTATCACCTGGTTATCTTTTGAAACGAGGGATAGTCTTCAAAATGGAAAAACATCTATTCATAAGCTGAATGATTCATTTCACTGTGGCTTTTTCTAAACAGAACATGAATGAATGGAAGCAACCATAATTCACACCTGGAAACTGGAAAGATAAATCACTAACCTTTCATAGGACCATTCTTCAGTTTGAATCCACTTTGCTCAAAGTATTTTTCTAGCCTAATCCATTTGACTTGAATCAATATATTTTTATTCCAGTTTTTACCAGATCATTAAATTATGGCATGATGATCTCATAGAAGAAACCAATTGCCCCTAAACTATTTTTTAAAAAAGCTTCCATGTCCATCCTTTTAGTTAAAACTTTCAGAAGTTCCAAATTATACATCACTAACTAAAATCTCACCTTGAGAATCAACTTTGTAAAGGTGCCAAATGCCAATTCCCTCCCAAATTATTTTTATAAATTCTATAAAATACCTATCAAACTCTTAAAAGAATTTTTCAGGGAATTTGACAAAGCGATTCTAACATTTATACAGATGTATAAATTGTCTAAAAGAGTAAAATGATTTAAAAGCATAGAGGAATAAAGCATAGAGGACTTGCCCTATCAGATATCAAGATATATTACAAAACTATAATAATGAAGCAGAGTGGCATTTACCAGGAACAGGAGAAGTAGATCCATGACACTAAAGAAAAGCTTAGAAACAGAGCCATAGACATATGGGAATTTGTTGTGGAACAGAAATGACACCACAAATGGATAGGACAGACTGCTCAGTAACTGACACCGGGGCATTTCACTCTCCACATGAAAAAAAATCAAACTAACTCTTAGCTAGGTGCAAAAATTATAAGTTTCAACAACTTTTAAGTTCTGGATGGTGTGAAAATGACATTTTTCTAGTATCATTCACATTGGTTACCTCTAAAGATTGCAAATTTGGGAAAAATAATTGCCAGGGAAAGGTTCTGGAGAATAAAGTAGGAAACAGAAGGAGTAAATGAAGCCTTTTCACTTCTTTTCAATATAGTCTTATGCTTGCTTTCAATTTTAGCAAATTTTAAATAATTACTAAAAAGAAAGAAAATCTGAGGAAAGGTAAAAGAGGTTAGTCAAATGGAAACTCTTCAGTGTTAGGAACTGAACTGTGTTCCCTAAAATTCTTTATGTTGAAGTCCTAATCCCCAGTGTGGCTGTATTTGAAGACAGAGACTATAAGGCAGTAATAGTTTCAATGAGGTCATAGAGGAGGGACTCTAATCGGATAGGAATGGTGTCTAAAAAGAGGAAGAGACACAAGAGCTCTGTCAGTGCACAGAGCAAAGGCCATGTGAAGTCACAGCAAGAAGACAGCTTCCTGCAGAGCAAGAAGAGAGGCCTCATCAGAAACCAACTCTGATGGCACCTTGACCTTGGACTCGCACAGCTCTGAGATAAAAATTTTTATTGTTTAGGGGCGCCTGGGTGGCTCAGTCGTTAAGCGTCTGCCTTCGGCTCAGGTCATGATCCCAGGGTCCTGGAATCAAGCCCCGCATCGGGCTCCCTGCTCCGTGGGAAGCCTGCTTCTCCCTCTCCCATTTCCCCTGCTTGTGTTCCCTCTCTTGCTGTGTCTCTCTCTGTCAAATACATAAATAAAATCTTAAAAAAAAAAAAAAAATTTATTGTTTAAACCACCCAGTCTGTGGGAATCTATTATGGCAGCCTGAACAGACCAATACACCCAGCAACCTTTTCCTTCCTCTCCTACATCCACGGATGGTGTTTTCCTTTTGCCATGATTTGCCAAACTTGGGATTCCAGATTTGTCCTTTTCCAAAAAACAAATTTAACACTGGGTCGATCCATAAGGTGAACTATGATCAAAATTAAGGAAATTTTCATTTTCCTCCATTTACAAAAGAGAAAGGTAAAACCAGTTACCAACACATAGTTTAAAATGCAAATTGCTGTTAACATTTGTATTCTGCTAGAGTTATTTTTGCCCATAAGCTTGTGTGATATTATGATTTATAATAAACACAGATTTGGTCTTTGCCCCCGTTTCTGGTACAGAGCCCCTAAAACCCTTGAAATTTCCTAAATGCTAAGAAAGAAAAAGATGCTGGAGGTTGAATTAACCACCAATGGCCAATGATTCAACCAATTATGCCTACGTAATAAAGCCTCCATAAAACCCCGAAAGGATGGCATTTGGAGACTTCAGGTTGGTGAACACATGGAGGGGCTAGAAGAGTGGCTTGCTCAAAAAGAGCACAGAAGCTCTGGGCCCCTTCCCACATAGCTGGCCCTATGCATCTCCTCCATCTGGCTGTTTATCATTTGTAACATCCTTTATAATAAACTGGTAAACATAAGTAAATGTTTCTCTGAGTTCTGGAAGCCTTGCTAGCAAACTAATTGAACCCATGGAAGAGTTCTTGGGAACCTCTGATCTCTAGCCTATCAGTCAGAAGCACAGGTAATAATGTGGACTTGTGACTGGCACCTGATGTGTGGGTGGGAAGGGTAGTCTAGTAGGACTGAGCTCTTAACCTATAGGATCTGACGCTATTTCCAGGTAGATAGTGGCAGGATTTAGTTAATTACCTGGTGGTGTGTTGGAAAAAACACACACGTGTCAAAACTGGTGTCAGAATTAAAGGTTGGTACGAGCACACATCACTCGCAAACCACAGATCAAATACAGTGCTGTATATGAAAAACCATCTTCATTATCCAAATAAAATACAGAGGCACCTGGGTGGCCCAGTTGCATCTGACTCTTGATTTTGGCTCAGGTCATGGTCTCAGAGTTGTGAGATGGAGCCCTGCATCAGACTCCACACTGAGTGTGGAGCCTGCTTAAGATTCCATCTCTCCCTCTCCCTCCGCCCCTCCGCACCCCCTTCCACTGCTTGCACTCTCTTGCTCTCTCAAATGAGCAAATGAAAATACATGCTTTACATGTATTTCAATCGGTAGAAGCTCTTGCCAAAGGCCCTTGCCATTTACATGTCTCAGTAATTCAAGCAATCTATCTATTGGCATTCAAATAATCACCCTCCTTCAAAAAAATCCCACATTTCTTTTTTAAAACTTCCCTTGGAGGGGCGCCTGGGTGTCTCTGTCAGTTAAGCATCTGCCTCCGGCTCAGGTCATGATCCCAAGGTCCTGGGATCCTAATCGAGCCCCGAACTCCATGTCAGGCTCCCTACTCAGAGGGGAGCCGGCTTCTTTCTCCCTCTTCCTCTGCCCCACCTCCCCTCTCAAATAAATAAATAAAATCTAAAAAAAACAAAAACAAAAACAAAAA